ACATGTACAATTCAAGTTTATCTTCTGTTTCATTCCCAAATCCTGGTCCCACAGTGAGCCACACCACCTCCACAACAGTTGGCTGCTTCTGGTAGGGAGCCAGGCTGAAAGACCATTTTAGGTACAGTCTACATCCATTCTGCCTGTTTGGAGTGCCTCGTGGAATAGTTTTGCTTTGTGCACCAAAACCAGTCCTCAAATACTGTCTCCTAAGGCCCTGCACCTGCCCTGTACATTGCACAACCCATATATACCAGGCTTAAGTCTTCACACTAACAAAACCATCACTCCACCAGCACTTGGAACTAACAGCAGTGATGTGCTCCTGTGGCAGGGAGGCTGCATGGACCATAGAGATGGGCCTCAGCCAAGCACCATGGAGCATTAACAGTGAGCATCCACTCTGGAGGATGTGAAGCCACAAGCAGTGTGACTTGCAGCCACACTCCACTGTAGAAAGCACACACACCCCACACTGCTGATGTGCTGCTTCCCTCAGAGAGGGGGACATCACACCAGCTTTTCAGGAATGCTAAAACCTGGAAATCCTTATCTCTGAGGAAGAATAGTAAAAAAAGCTCTGAACTAGCAATGCTCTGATTAGGAAGATCCTGAGAAAGACCAAACACTGATTGCAAGAGGAGCAGCAAGCAGAAGCACAGCTCAAACTCTGCTGATTTAATTCAGTGGCTCAGTGTAGAGAATAGGAAGAGGCAGGCAAAAAGCAGGTCACATCACTGTGCTGTTCATCACTTACATTTATAAACACAGAGGTACCCAATACAGGGAAATCCCATACTATCCAAAGCAAACCTTAATTCTCAAGTCTTATTTCTGACTCTCACGGTTAAAAGTCTGCATGCACAGAACAGCAACACCCTTTCCCACTTCCATAAGAACACCATAGACAGCATACAGCTTATTTATCAATATAGCATCAGTAGACAGTATTACCGTGAAGTACAGTTTCAAAACCATCCTGATGGACTTTCTATAGCTTAAAACCTTAGAACAGCACTGAAGGACAGTCCTTGTGTTATTTCAGAGCTCCACAAAATGGTTGTACCCATTTTGGTTGTACCAGCATCAGGTTTGTGTCCCTGTTTACCCAGAATCAACTACTTCAAGTATTCAGTTTTATCTTCAATGTTTTAGTATTAGTGCTTGCCAATTCCTAGACTTCATTTCCCCATTTTTAGTCTTAAATAATCACTTAAAAGGTCTTCAGATAAAAATACCACAAGTTGAATAACAGGAGCAGCTTACTGGTCTCTAACTACCAAGTCCATTTCCTCTTGAAAGTCACACGCATCTTAAAAAGCCACTTAAAAGCATCCTAAAAGCCACTTTTCCGTCTTAAAAGTCACAAGAACGACAAGAACACCGAGGAGCGCTTCAAAACAAAGCCCTGAAACCAGCCAAGCCACACTGTCAGCAAGCAGGAAGCTATTCATGCTCTGACAATGAGGCCATGAATTAGTAAAGTGAAAGTACAGTGAAAGGGGCCTGTACAAACAGCACCTCGAGAACCAATTCAAGTTTTCCCCTCCATGTGATGCTCTGTGCCTTTGACAACCACATAGCATCCCTTTTTCCCCCACCCCATACACTCCACAACAGCCCAGGAACAGTCTGTGTACAAACACTCCTCCAAATCCCTGTTGGAGATGGGTAAAGCTACACTGCCCTGAGCACACAAAGGGAACCAGAGCCTCGTCAGTGATCTCAAAAGGGCAATGAATAAACCAGCAGCCAACAGCTTGGGCTGAGGCTCCAGTCTTGCACACTGAGGACTTACTGGGGGAAAGCAGAGGGCACCCATCAGTTACTCTGACTTGAAGGCAAAGCTGTGGATCTTTCTTTGGGATCAGGTTTTTCATTAAGTAGATGGGGATCTTGGGGGCTTTTCAGCCTGGAGAAGAGAAGCTGTGTTGAGACCTCAGAGCAGCTTCCAGTGTCTGAAGGGGGCTACAAGGATGCTGGGGAGGGACTCTTCATCAGGGACTGCAGTGATAGGACAAGGGGTGATGGGTTCAAACTGAAACAGGGGAAGTTCAGGTTGGAGATAAGGCAGAAGCTCTTCCCTGTGAGGGTGCTGAGGCGCTGGCACAGGGTGCCCAGAGAAGCTGTGGCTGCCCCATCTCTGGCAGTGTTCAAGGCCAGGTTGGACACAGGGGCTTGGAGCAAGCTGCTCTATGGAAGGGGTCCCTGCCCGTGGCAGGGGTTGGAGCTGGAGGAGCTTTAAGGTCCCTTCCAACCCAAACCACTCTGGGATTCTACCTTAATCATCCTGGTCACTCCCACCAGGTGCTGAGCCAGTACCTGACCCCTAACTTGCACCAAAACCTCCTCTGCTTCAGCATACAACAAATGCTCAGCTGCTCCACGGAGCACACCTCATTTCCATGCCACTCTGTAGTTAAACCTTGCCACTCTATAAAATAAGACAAGCACATAAAGTCATTACTACAACCAAGGTCCAAAACTCTAACATTTGCTCTGAAGAGAGGTTTTATTGGGGATAACTGCTCCAACACAGCTTTCCACAGGAGCCAAACTCCTTTAGAAGCATCAAGGCAGAGGTGGAAGGACAATAGGAAAGTTAGGGAGTGGATTAAGAGGAATTAAAGGGAAAATAAACAGAACAATGACTAATTGTTGACATAGTTTACCAATGAGGATCAACCACAAGGAGGGTGCCTTGTGCCTCCAGGCCTGTCTCAAAGACAAGAGTGAACACACAGCAATTAATGAGAGAATGGGAAAAGAGGGAGATTTAATTACTGAGCTTCCTTTAAACCAGTTGCCAAGAGGCACTAATGATGATGCACGACAGAGGTGGGAGAGGAAGAAAGCAGAAGGACCATCATCTGGTCAGGTTTCTTCCACCCACGGCCCAGACTGGAAGCAGTTATGGTTTAACAAGAGGTTAGCACACAGAACCCCATCCAAAAGGATGGAAACACAACTCTATTCATTAATTACAGCAAGTAATTTTCAATTAAGTTAGAGGACAAAAGCTCCCCACAGCAAAATACTGCTGTGAATGTAGTGCATGGATTTTTGCCTTGCTCAGAGGCTCAGGAAGCTGGTGGGAGGGGAAAATAATCCCTCCTCATGCCATACTTTGTTGGTTGGCCTTGCTCCCCTGCCCCACAACACCTTCACCTCTTGTTTCCATCCTCTACAGAGTGACTGCAAGTGCTTCAGAACCAGGCAGTGTAGCCCTCACTGTAGAACCCCCAGTGTGTGCCCCTGCTGGAGCATCCAGTCCTCCTTCTTCAGGTGATTTTGAATACTCAAAATCCACAGAAACTCTTTAACATCTCTCCAAGTAGTAAGTTCAATAGTGCAGGTCATGATTGTCACCTAGGGGAGCAAGGGTAAGCAGGTGCCATCAACCCTACTCTTCAGTTTGTATTTTCTTGGTTCATTTTAGCCTTAGAAGGAGCTACAGAAACAGTTAAATTTCACTAATCTGGTTTTAATCCAAGTATTTTCCCCAGTAACCTTCCTATTAAAAATGTGTAAGTTCTCAGAGGAGACCTTATCCATGTGTAAGGAGTTAAAGGGGGGCTACAGAGAACACAGAGACTCCCTTTTGTCAAGGAGTCCCACGAATAGACTGGAGGTGATGGGCACAAGCTCCTCCTGGGGAGATTCCCACTGGACACAAGAGGGTTTTCTCCCCCAGTGAGAACAATGCAGCCATTGGAGTAACCTCCCCAGGGAAGTGGTGACTCCCCAGCATTGGGCACCGTTAAGATGGGGCTGCACAGGGTGCTGGGCATCCAGTCTGGGTCATGCTTTGCCTGGAAAGTCTGGACCAGATGATCCTTGAGGTCTCTTCCAACCTGGAATTCTGGGATTCTTCTACTCCATACATTTTGAGGACAAACATACATTAAGCTGCTTTAAAAAAGACCCACCAACCTTTCAATCCACCAAACCCCCCCCACATTTACCGGAGCTCAGTCCACATTACCAAGTGTATTATCAGGAATGCTATTTCCTTCTTCCACTCCTTCCCTCCCCCGTGCCCCTATTCCCAGCTATTTCCACGACAGCAGCTCTGAGCACAGAACACGCAGATGGCAAGTGCTGATTCCTGCACAAACGAAGGGAGAGAGCAGATTCCCAAGCAGCATAAAGCCCATCTAAGGGCCAACAGAGAGCTCACTTGTAGCCCTCCTGCTTCGAGCCCGACAAGGCTGAACAAGGGGGAAACAGGATAAACACACTGATAACCACTCTCCGTAAAGTAAAAGGGAAAAAAGCAGGAAAGCAGCCACATAAAGCCACTGTTTGTTGACCCTCCTCCATCTCCCAAGGTATTTTTAAAGTACAAGCCATGATGTTTGGGCAAACGAGCTGGGAAATAAAGTAACCCTTCCAACACCGTATTAATGTTCTCGTTATTATTATGGCCTCAGGTTTGCTTTGGATGGGTTAATGGGAGCTAACAGAGCCTGCAGCCCTCCTGACACCCTGATGAGGATGGCAAGGGAAGGCGTATGGCAGAATACCCGCCTCTAAAGCCTGCTTCTTTGTAAGGGATGGCGTTCAAGCAGGACAGAAAACACAGCCACGCCATTTGCCTCCAACAGCATCAAACCACCCTGAAACGAGGTTACACGAGACCACGCCGATGTCTTCACGGAGGAGCAGGAGCAACACGAAGCAGGTGCCGTGCTCCATGTGGCAGCGAGATGACATCACCCCATCAGGTACAGCCCTGGGGGGGGGGGGGGGGGCCGCTTGCCTCACCCTTCCCCTCTCCCAGGGTACGGAATTCCCAGCCCCGGCAGCACGGCGGCATCGGGGTGGTTATTTCCCAAAGCCACCCCTCAACCCCAACCCCAGGGGAAAGGGCGAGGAAGAAGGGGCCAAACACCGCGCTCAGCACCGGCGATGGAACGCGCTGGAAACCAAAAGGACCGGGTGTAACGGAGGCGATCCCGCTGCACCCCCCCCGCCCCAAAACCCCGCCACACACCCACCTTGTCCCAGCTCAGCCACTGCCACACCGCCTTGTCCAGCTGCGCGTCGCCGGTGCTGGGGGCGATGAGCACGTTGGAGTTCACATCCCCGGGGGCTCCGCACTCGCCCATGTCGCCGTCCGCAGGGGTGGAAGGAAAGAGGGGGGACAACAACGGCGGCTTCGCTTCTTTCACTCCGCCGCGGCACCGCGCATCCCCTGAGGGGAGGGAAGAGCGATGCCGGTGCCGCGGTGCCGGGGGGAAGCGGGGAGCACCCGCTATTTACCTCAGGGTAACGGCGCCCGCCGCCTCGCACCGGCAACGCTCCGAGCGCGGCCCCGCTCCCCGCCCTCCCGCCGCTCGACAACAACCGCGGCCCCGCCCCTCCCGCGCCGCCGCCCCGCCAATCACGCCTCGCCCACCCCACCGGGGTGGGGGGGGGGGGAAACGAGCGGCGCTGCAATGCGTGATGGGAAATGTAGTCCGAGTGACGCCGCTAACCGCCGAGGGGTGGCGGGAGAGAACTACAACTCCCGGCATCCCTTGCGGCGCGCCGCTTTCGCCTCGGGCTGAGGGAAGCGGGCTGCGCTGAGGGGAGCGGGTTCGCTTCCCTCAGTGATGTCTGCTGCGGGGGGTCCTGCTTCTCCGGCCGCGTTCCCTCGCCGGGAGCCCCGTCTCTCCCCGCAGAGGTCCCGGCTCCCCCGCGGTGGTGGCACTGGACCCAGGGGCCGGCAGCCGTCGAGTGTCACAGAGCGCTTGGCCCTCAGGGGGCCTGAGCAGGGTCAGGGTGGAGGCAGAGGGCTGGATGGAGGCTCCCTCCTTTTGCTTGGTGCAGACCGAAAGTGCACGTTGTACCTCTTAACACCCGCTCTAACAGGCGCTCCGTGCCTCCTGGTGATCTACGTGAGGAAGAGCTGAAAACCTCCCTGGTTCTGCTTCAGCCTCCGAGGCAGCTTTCATGCTCCCGAGCGCGTCTCTTCACTCTGAAAGGGTAATGGAAGCAGCACAGCCCCAGGGGAAGAGCTTCTTGTTCAGAAGCGTCTCCAGCTGGGCTTCGGAAGCGATTCAGTTTCCATTAGGAGAAAAATCACAATCCCCCATCTCCCTGCCCAGGCTGCAGCAGTTCTACTTGAACTGCGCTGAGCGGAAGACCATGGTGGTGACCACATCCCGCAGAGCATCCTCATCCCGCACAGCATCCTCATCCCAAAGCCCATCCTCATCCCGCAGAGCACCATTATCCTGCAGTGCATCCTCACCCTGCAGCACATCCTCATCCCACAAAGCACCCTCATCCCGCAGAGCATCCTTATTTTAGATAGGATACAAGGAAGAAGTTCTTTCCTGTGAGGGTGCTGAGGCACTGGAATGGGTTGCCCAAGGAGGTTGTGAATGCTCCATCTCTGGCAGCGTTCAAGGCCAGGTTGGACAGAGCCTTGGGTGTCATGGTTCAGTGTGAGGTGTCCCTGCCTAAGGCAGGGGGCTGGAACTGGATGATCTTAAGGTCCTTTCCAACCCAAACTATTCTATGATTCTATCCTTATCCCACAGAGCACCTTTATCCTGCAGCACATCCTCATCCTGCAGCGGATCCTCATCCCACAGAGCATCCTCATCCCGCAGCGCATCCTTATCCCACAGAGCATCCTCATCCCGTTGCAGATCCTCTTGTAGGTTGCCATAGTGACAGCAAGCACTGCAGAGGGATGCAAGGATTTGGGAAGATGGGCAGAAAGCAGTGGGACTGCTGCCCAGGGGATGCTGGATGTGAAGGGAGGGATGAAATGCCTGGGTTGTGAGCACCACAGGCTCTTTGGCGAGGTGGAAAGAGAAACTCAAGGGAGAATGAGATGTAATGGATAGATAACAAACATGGGGGGAGGTGGCTTGGGGTACCCAACCAGCATAGCACACAGTTAAAAACTCTACATATATAGAAGAGAATGACCCATCATCAGGAAGCTTAGAAATCTCAATGTAACATCTCCCCCCTTCAAAGCTCTCTGGTCCATGTCCTGAAGGGACTTCTTTCTTGTCTGCAGACACAAACAAATCCTCTGGTCCAGAGCTCTGACTCAGGTGTGGGGAAATGAATCCTTAAATTGGTCCCTTGCGGTAAGTTACTGATAAAAGTCAAGAGAAGGTAAAGATAAGAAGGAAAGAAGCCAAGGTAAGTCTTCTGTTATCTCTAAAGGACTCTTAAGGTTGTTTCTGGTACAGAAGAAGAGTCTGGATGCTGATAGAGTGAGGAAATGAGGCGGAATAGATGACTTAAACACATTATTCCAGATCTCAGGATAGCTGACAAGGGTTTCTTCTGCAGTGGATTTGCACCTGAGAGTCAGCGGGAGGCGCAGCACCTGCTTTTCATCCCTTTGCTGCTCTTTTCTCCTCCTTTGTGGTGTGTCTTCAAGGAAAGAAGGTAAAGCCCAGTATAACAGGAGCTCCAGCCCCTAAAACCTTCGTTATCCCCTCCAAAAAGGGACAATGGGCATGTTAAATGCTTCTCCAAAGGGCATTTCTTACAAAAGCTCTGTAGCTATTTGGAAAGGCAGTAAGAGATGCTGTTGAAATGAAACTTCACACTTGAAACGCTTCAATTCTTGCCTCTTTTTTTCCCTTCTATGTGCCTAATGAAAGCTTTAACTCATCCTGAATGGTGATATTTTTTGCCATCAGAGTAGAAAGGCTCTTTCTGTACATGAAACCTTGACCCTCATGAGGTGCTTTCACGCCGTGCCCACACCCTGTGTTATCAGCTATGATTAAAAGCTATGATTTCCCCTTCTGATAACAGTAGAATGATCATTCTTTCAGATGTCAATGCTTCTTCTATGATTATATCCCTGAGGAGCAGATAAACCAGCCTTATAGAGGATAAAAGTCTAAGCCTGTAATTTCTTTACTGGGAATAACCAGAGCGTGGAGGGTTTAAAACGTCTCAGAATCCCCCCAGTGCATCCAAAGTCAGGATGAGCTGGCTTCCAGATCCTTCCCCATGGGAGGACTTTGGTTAGTAAGCTCCGAGGCACCACAGTGCATACAGCAGATGCCAGACAGCTCGAGCAGCTCCAGAGCAAGGCAAGCATCTAAAGATTATAGCTGATAGGACTTAGATGGTGCTTGTGGAGATTTGCTGTGTTTACCTGGAGAAAACACCAATCCCAGAGGAGATGAGGAGAAGACAATCAAGTCTGATGTATCTGAGGGTTAGTGAGCCACCTGAAGAGCTTTTAAAGCTGATTCTGTTGCTGCAGGAAGGTTAAACTGAGTCCCATGTGCTTTTGTGCTGGCGCAGAGAGCAATAGGGAAGAAGCTGGTGGGACTGGACTGTGCTGTGGCACGGCACATCATGGCTCTGCTGGGCACTCTGGCTTCATTGCAGAGCCTCCCATGCTGACCATGCCTGTTGCCAGCAGAAATCTCTATTTTCATCTATTACTGAGGGCAAAATTTGCTGTGGAGGAAAGGCAGGACATAGGGACTGCATGTGCAGGTGAAGGAAAGGCAACATTTCCAAGCCCTCACCCTCATGTATCATAGGGTCTAATGCAGGCAGGGCACGCTCAGAGCAAACAGAGCAGCAGCAAACAGTCTCAGGGCAAAAACTGCAGGAGAGGACACATTGCCCGTGATGAACAGGAGCCGGGCTGGGAGGAGAAGGGCTGACAGGCTGCTGGCAACCACCGGCTCGTGTGCCGGGAGCTGCCAGAGCCAGTGGGGACCATGGCAGGGCTCAGCTGCACGGAATGGCTTCTTCCTAGCTCAAACGAGCGTGTGCAGCCACATACACACACACTGCTCCTGCTGTCAAGGGAGGGACCAACCCTCTGGGCTGCTGTGGGCCACATGTAGCAAAATGCAGCTATGAAATGGCAAATGACTGACTGAGCCTGATGCTGCGAGGGCTGGAGCAGCTCTGCTCTGGAGCCAGGCTGAGAGAGCTGGGCTGGGGCAGCCTGGAGAAGAGAAGGCTCCTGAAGGGGAGACCTGAGAGCAGCTCCAGTGCCTGAAGGGGATGCAGGGAAGCTGGAGAGGGGTTTGGGACAAGGGCCTGTAGGGCCAGGCCAAGGGGAATGGCTTGAACCTGCCGGAGGGGAGACTGAGCTGAGCTCTTAGGCAGAAGCTCTTCCCTGGGAGGGTGCTGAGGTGCTGGCCCAGGGTGCCCAGAGAAGCTGTGGCTGCCCCATCCCTGGCAGTGTTCAAGGCCAGGTTGGACACAGGGGCTTGGAGCAAGCTGCTCCAGTGGAAGGGGTCCCTGCCCGTGGCAGGGGTTGGAGCTGGAGGAGCTTTAAGCTTCCTTCATCCCAAACCAGTCTGGGATTCTGTAATTAGATATTCATTAGTGACACATCACTCCTGTTTGGGATTTGCAGTCCTACAGTGTGGGGGTAAAGAGCATGTCCATCCTCCTTTGCAGGATTAAATGTATCCTTCCTCCTATCAAGGTTGGGTTTGCAGCATCACAGTATCACACCCCTGAATAGTGATGCATATATTTGTTCTCACCAACGTGTTTCATGTTGTTTTTCCACAGAAGGAAGACTAAACATGCCTTGCTGTCACCATACAGTGGCATTAAATGTCTCTACAGTCACATTAGCTCCTCAGTGATCTGCTTCTGCATACCAAATCCTCACCCACCACAAACTGGATTAGCTCTGTCTATCACACCATTCTACCCAGCCCTGCACCGGGAGCCTCAGGCCTCAACCCACCCAGTACAGTGTTTCCATGGCAATTTTGCCTCACAGTTTATCCAGATCCCTGCAAACAGCCCAGGGCTCCCATGGTATTCCAGGTTGTTTCTCTGCCCCTGCTTTGTGCAGTGAGCTGTGGCCAGGAGGGATGAACCCAGCTCATCCTTCCAGCTCTCTGCAGGCACTGCGCTTGTCCTTGCTCTGCAGCACAGCTTCTGTGTTATTAGTTATGTACCCTGAGCACCCCTGCTCTCCTCTCGGGTCACCTGGAAATAACACAGGTATTCCTTCCATGCCTTCCATTCCCCTCTCTCAGAGCAATGTATTGCCAGACTACGCTGTAGGCAGCAGTGACATCCCTGCCACTTGACAGCACAGGGAGGGGTGGGTGCGTTTGGGAGCCTGAATGCTGTTTTAAATCCAATCTGGGGCCCAAGCAGCCAAAAGTA